AGATGTCAGCAAATCATTGTCTTCTCAGGAGATATAAAACTCTGTAAAAGCTAAAAATCATAGGATGAATAAATCGAATTTTTGTAATGGATTTCTTATGACGGAACTCGCAATTTCTTACGTGTCATGCGCAGGAGCATGATCACAGTGGAATATCCACTTCCCAGTCTAAAGTTTTTTTTTTTTTTATCTCCAAACAGATTCCTGTAACCCTTTTAACATTTTGTGTTTTTGGCTGACCACTTACTGCGTCAATATGCATATCTTCTTGTCCTTTCTAGATTCGCACGTACCACACAAAAGCAGTGAATTTAATACCAGTTGTTTTTAATAGGGCTTACAATTCAATAGCACTTTCACCATTCTTCACTCGAATTATCCTGTCAACAGTGTAACACGAGCACGTACAACTTACTCTACTGCTTGACAAAGAATGACTCATCTGGTCGGTGTGTCAAGAAAACGGAAGTTGAAAAATACCTGCTCGCGTACAATGTACAAATCTTTGCTCAATTAATTTTGTCAGTTACATGCTGTGGTTATCCAGAAATTAAATTGTCAAATTCATATACATATATATATATATATATATATATATATATATATATATATATATATATATATATATGTGTGTGTGTGTGTGTGTGTGTATATATATATATATATATATACATATATAGATGAACATAGAAGTCAACATTAGAGGCGACAGTCTATTTTATGCTAGATGCAATCGTCAGACCACCTGACGATTGCATCTAGTATAAACACTGTCGCCTCTAAATTTACTTCGCTATTATCTCTGATATTGAGCACTATATCCCATAAATATAGCACATCTTAAGACTATATTTCTTCGTATATATATATGTATATATATATATATATATATATATATATATATATATATATATATATATATATATCATTATATATCTGTATTTTATATCATATTTTATATTTTATAGCTTGCATCGAGCACTTTTTTGGTGTTTACGCCTTTCTATGCGCCCCCTGTTTTTATTTATTTTTTGGCCCCTTCTATTATAACATAATATTTTATATATTAAATAATTAAATATATATATATATATATATATATATATATGCAGCATATGTTCATTCAAACATATTTCATTGAATAATGTCAACAAATTAAGGCTATTTATTTTTATAATAATCCTTTTCCAGTTCTCTAATCAGTTTCTGGATGTTAAGATGAAATTCATCAAGAAGGCACCGTAGTTTTTTCTTACCCAAGTACTTTTAACAATAGCCATCACAACGAAATGCATATTTGATCACAGTTACAACAAGTTTGTCTTTATAATTCACCTCTGAGGATGATCTTGGAGGAGATCGAAAGTAGTAAGGTAGGAAAAAACTACAGCGAAAATGTCGGGATTCAAATTAATCCAATGAGATGTAATGTTTAAAACGGATACACGGAGCATAACCGCGCCACAAATGAAATATTTCTGCATGTTATTGTTATTTTGTACACATATTAACAATGTTATTCTTACTTTAAGATGTTATCTCCTATCGATGATCTGGGTTTTTTTTTTTTTTTTTTGTCTTATGCTTGTTTTGGGTTTCAGTGTATTTAAGCTACACGACTCTCCGGTGAAGAAGGCTATTAATATGGCAACATTTTGACTTCCAAAAAGTTAAAAAGTTAATTTAAGAAATTAAATTAGGTAGCAAAAGAACCGACAGCTTTACGCTTAAATGAAAGAAAGATGACTGGAAAAAAAAAAAAAAAACAACAAATAGGCTTTTCAATAATGTTTACGCCGAAAGGAAATTATTTAAAAAAAAAAAATCTCTTATATTGTTCCATAAAAGACCGAACCAAATTTTGATCTCACAAATATATCTCGATTTTTGTTTGATAAGACCATCTTTGGCACAACGATAGATTTCTGGAGATAAATAATAAGACAAGTATCGCCATGGATCTTCGGATTTTTATAATGATTAAGTTTACGAAAATCCCAATCAAAAGAAATGAAGTGCCTAGCAACCCTGACTTTTAGTTGGATTGAGTTTCACTGTCTCCCTCAAGATTCTATGAAGCTAAGGCAAATTTAGAAAAAAAAAAAAATCTCCATGGCTCTGCAAATTTTATCGCAAACGCACTGTAGGACTTGATTGTTTATTTAACGGCATATCGACATCCTTATGGGTCATTCGATGCCGAAATGCAATTTTCTTGGGAGCTTTGAAGTAATAAATATATGTTACTAGAAAGTCTTTCCCCAGTCGCTATCGCTTTGCCAAGTAAGATATATTCACTACTTGAAAAATTTGAAACAAAAATTTTAAATGAACACTTCTTGTTATAGTTAAGGAAAGTTTTAAAAATAAATGCCAACTTGTTGAAGGCCAAGTAAAATGCAAATTTTCTGCAGAATATAGAACAATATTTTTAAACAGAACTATTTTTGATATAAAAATCAAAACAATCCTTGAATAAAAGAACATTAATTAAGGACAGTTAATTAATGAAATATACTTCTTTAAAATCGATATGCAAATTAGTTAAACCTGAAGAGTGACATCACCGAGAAATAGATAATATATAATTAAGATATTGAGCTTTTTGAGTTGAGGCTTTTTATCCCCAGGATTCATTGGATAATTGTGCTCCAATTTCGCATTTATTCAGATAGATTCCGTAATATCGGTTTTAGTTAATTAACTATTATCTTTTTCTAACTGTTGAATGTATAACTAATTCTATTTTCTTATATTTACACTATATTAATTTTATCTTACAAATTGTTCCCTATTCTGTCACCCATGAAATAAAAATAATTGTTTGTACGGAAAGTAAGGACCTACGTACATCAACTCGTCTTTAAGTGGCAGCAGAAGAATTATGGTTGAACTTTTAAAAGGTAAGCTTAAACATTAATTCAGTACTTAAATGTAGCAATCAATTTTGAGTTCTGTAGTTTATTGATGCCTATCACATCTACTCCTCCCTAGCTATTCTAATGACGATGAGTCCTCTACAGGAGTTTGCTTAAATGCCGACCGCTAGCGCACCTTTTTAAACTAGTTTATAATAAAATGTGCACTGCAGTTTTGGATACAGAAGGAAAATAAGTGTTACAACCCTTGAACGATGAAATCAATGGTAATGGCTAGTATAATATATTAATATTTATTTTTAACCTCGCATAATCTGGCAACGCTGAATCTGAGCTCAACGAATATCGTTCCCTGCGCTTAACTTTTCTAGGGCTTTTGAATGAAACAGTAAACATCAAAATCGGACCAGTAGGAGCGATTTCCTTTTCCCATATCATTTCCGTTGAGTTGACCGATTAAATAGATCAAAGTCTAATCCTTACCCCCTCCTTCCTCAATATTAAGTATTATAATAAAAAGAAATATAAAAATAAATTTTAAAACTCTCTCTTCCCTCTTTAAACTCAACCATGTCTCTCATGCCATCCCTCACCACCCTCTATGTCAACTTATATAAACTTAATACTGCCCGTCAGAAGTGTAAATTTTAAATTCATTTTTCGTTTCACCTTTTGAAAGTGATGTCTGAAGATCCAGGGAAAAATAAAAGTCTCTCGTCAAATAAATTATTACAATGGAGCCTTAAAGTAGTCTGTTTTTCTTTAAAAGAATATATATATATATACTATTTACATTATTCGGACTATTGTCCTCATCTTTCTCGTCATATTTATTACAACGTTTCTGCCGTTGTACGCCCCGGCCTTCTTCAGGTGGTTGGAATGACGAACTGAACCCTTTATTCAGCTCACTGGGGTCTAGTTCCACTTGTTATGTTTAATGGATGTCACTTATCAGTTATCTCCTGTTAATTCCCCTCTTCAAGTTCTTCACTGCTTTAACCGGGTATTGAACTCACACTCTTTGGGTCCTGTCACTGGATCTAACTAACGCCTTTATCCACTGTGCCATGTGTTCATGTGTCATAGTATAGGCTAAAGGTTCGAGGCCACCTTCTGTATTTCGAAGTATTACCAAAGAATGACGATTGTATGTTTTTTTTTTTTTTCAAAACTACTTTAGGGGCTCACTTTGGACCAGAGTGATATTCTTTCCTTTACTGTTTTATTCATTAATAATAATAATAATAATAATAATAATAATAATAATAATAATAAGTACAAGGACCTTGAAATAGAAATCGCGAAAATGTGGCATATGGGAACATCAACAATCCCTGCTGTAGTTGGAGCCCTAGGACTGGTTGGAAAAGATTGCAGTAGACTAATTGAAGGGATTCCTGGAAGTCCATGCCTCAAGGAGATACAAAAAATTGTTCTGACAAGTACAGCCCACACCTTACGAAAGGCTTTATCTATGTAATTTAAATTTTTTTTTTTTTTTTTTGTCAGTGGAATGTGTCATGACGCCATTTCTAACCTTAGGTCCCTGGGCGGGACCCGGAAAGAAATGTGGAAACGCCAGAAATCAAAGAAAATAAAAAATAATAATAATAATACCTCCAACAACGGAATTAAACCCTTACTGCAAAAATTTTCATTAAAATTTTCGTCTAATCTCTCAAATTTTCTTCATTATAGGCCTAGCGGATTTTAAATTGTAGATAAGTAGTTAGACGCCATGTACTAACGGTTTAAATGGTTTCAGTAACATTATAGCTTAGTAAACGTAAATTAAATTCGAGAAGGCGTGATACTTACTAATTATTAAATGCACTGCAAACCTTTGGCCAATAATGCTGATTGGTTGATTGCTACGTTTTCTAATCAAAACTTTGCAGGTTATTTAAAGCCATAAAATATATTTTTTAGATTGTAAATAATAGTTTTACTGATACAAGTCTTATGAATTAACCCATAGATGGGGGAGAAGCGGTGGATTCAGACATTTCCAAGGGTATTTGCGCGTAAGTGAATATAACGAAGCCAACTGTTATTGGAACTCGGTTCTCTAATTAACGACTCCATGACACTAAATATTACACCACCCGCACATCAAGGCCTACATCACCTGATATTCCCAAGCGGTCACCCAGCTAGGTATTGACCAGGTTCACCATTGATTAGCTTCGGTGATCGTACAGGAACAGGTGACTTCAACGTGATGTGGCATAATGTGTGTGTGTGTACGTGCGCATGTGTGTGCGTATCCATGTGTGTGCGCGCGTAAGATATTGCCAGAAAGTAACAGTAATTTGGACAGCATGATCTTCCAGAGTGGACCTGAAATTTATCATTACTTTTTGTGGACATAACATTTACTTTCTAATGTCTCGTGCAGTAAATATAGCTGGACGGTGAAAATTGGGTGTAATGGTCATTTTTACATCCTAAGATTACTTGAAACATTGAATTGCACCTCATATATAAAGTCTAAAGTTCAGCTCATAATACTTTCTTTAAGTGATTACGGCAATTTCCAGTTATGTTCGAGAAAGTTATTATTGTCAGAGGAAAAGAAGAAAGTTTTTATTACCTTAAACTTTGCCTTTATAGGAAAGCAGCATAATTTACATCTACATTTTTTAATGAAATTCGCCCCATGTAAGGCAGTAAAACAACTAAGAAACAGGGGTTTATAGCGTGTAAAAGTATTAGAAAAGAGAAAACTTGAAAGAATGGAAACAACAGAAGACTATTCAGGAAAACAGTAAATAACGATTGGCATTACATTTAAATTTTTAAAGATGATGCCGGAAAAAAGATCCACAAGCGACAAATGCGAGAACAGAAACTGCTAGTATCGCATGTTATGTCGTGTGTCGAACGGTTGCTAACGCTCTGTAAGCTACCCTTAAAAGTCTTGTGCAGAACGGTTGCTAACGCTTTGTAAACTTCACTTAAAAGTCTTGTGTAGAACGGTTGCTAACGCTCTGTGAATTCCCCTTAAAAGTCTTGTGTAGAACGGTTGCTAACGCTCTGTGAGCTCCCCTTAAAAGTCTTGTGCAGAACGGTTGCTAACGCTCTGTGAACTCCCCTTAAAAGTCTTGTGTAGAACGCTTGCTAACGCTCTGTAATCTTCCCTTGAGAGAAAAGAAAAGAAAAAAGTTACTGCAAGTTACTAGATGTAAAATGTTGATAGCGCTTGAGGGAGAAGATATTATTAAATTTCAAGTTTTTTGAAACCCATTTTAAAGTACTTCGCCTGCGGTGAAAGACATTGTATTTAATGAGCGTTGTTTTTTACATATATATTTTAAGCTTCAAGTACATTAACTCTTCCGTTAAAATAAGTGCTGTATAGTATATTTACAAATATGATGCTAAAAAGTCATATTTTGCGAAATACACCCACACACACGGGTTAAATAACAACGTAGATTGGGTTCACTAGACTTGAGTGATGAAAAGGAACATTCTGAATTTCAAACACTGGAGAATGAAACAGGAAGCCGCGACACCCTTTGACACGACATAATATTAAAGAAATAGTAAATCAAATAAAAAGCACTATGTGTAACGCTATTAACACTTATTTCCTGAAGGGTTATATATATATATATATATATATATATATATGTGTGTGTGTGTGTGTGTGTGTGTGTGTGTGTGTGTGTGTGTGTCTGTGTCTGTGTGTGTGTGTGTGTGTGTAGCACGTAGCCGCCAAGAAACACGCAAACCGCTCGAAGTCCACGCTGTAAAATTATTATATAGCAGCTACACACAGAATTGCACCATCCAAAAACATATCCTTGATAATGGCGACAGAAGTAACCGAAAGTGCTCGGGACAATTATAACTATGGACAATTCTAATATTCCATAAGCCCTGGAAAACGGGAAAATGTTAGATTGTGGGAAAAACTCAATAGAGTATTAATTAAATCTTCCTTGTCAGCCGATTTTAATGAAACATGCATGAAAGAACGGCTGCTGCCGAAATCAATTAAATTGCATGACCAAGCAGCCAACACGGAACATAACACCAGCACACACACACACACACACACACACACACACACACACACACACACACACATATATATATATATATATATTACATTGAATAGAAATCCAAATTTACCTCATCCAAAGAGCTATTTCAGTCGTTGCCATTGTCAACTCAGAATTGTCACTTAGACACTTCTGAGCTGGCAATACCAACGACTTGTTGTTTGAATTAGATATTCGAATGAGGTAAATTTGAATTTCTATTCTATGTAATTTATATGCTCTGTTATAATAAATACATTGAGCTCTTTTTGTGGATCAGTTTTAATATTTTACATTATTAGGATTCACTTGGATTATATACCAACGAATTATTACATATATATATATATATATATATATATATATGAAAAATTAACCTGTAGAAAAAGACAATATTTACAAATGTTAAAGACAATAGGGAAACTGTAATAGTTGTTGACGCGTTTCGTCCGATATGGATTTCCTCAAGCCAAAAAACAACATGAATTTATTAAACAAAGTAACAAATGATAACAAAACAAATCTTCCAATATATTAAAAAAAGAAAATTTGTTTTGTTATCATTAGTTACTTTGTTTAATAAATTCATTTTGTTTTTTTGGCTTGAGAAAGTCCACATCGGACGAAACGTCAACAACTATTACAGATTTCCTATTGTCTTTTACATTTATAAACACAAACACACACACACACACACATACCGTACACACACACACACACACATATATATATATATATATATATATATATATATATATATATATATATATATATAAAACAACCACTTTAAGGTACCATTATAATAATTTATTTCACCAGAGCCCTTTTAAATGACGCCGGATCTGATGATCCGGCATCCTCCTTGGGATTACTCATACGAATTACCAAGTTCTTCATAACTTAACTATATATATATATATATATATATATATATATATATATACGGAGAAGCATATAGTAGAATGTGGTGACTTGTACAACAGTTATTTGTTTGTACAGGATCTGAAATCCTTGCAACAAGCTTTAAATTCTGAAATGTTTACATTTTGCTTCACGCTAACAACTTTGCGGTATGTCTCCTTCTTTTATCTACAGCGTCCCTTCATGACGTTGACGATCATGATTCCGCGCAAATTCCTCTCCTTGTATCTCTAAACAACGTTTGCCTTTTGAAAATCCCTCTTTGTTCTCCGACACTTTTTCACATGAAATCGTTGCTTCGATTACTCTCTGCTTCCCTCTTCTTTTCTTTGTCGTCAATATGTCTTGGAATTATTAATTTCTCGAAATCCTCATTCCTGGCATATGTATCTCAGAAACTTCAGCTGTCTTCTAATCTCTCTTATTTTTTTAATTTAAAATCCCCTTTTAGTGCTTCATTTACTTTTTAAAATGCCTCGTTGCTTACATGTTCCGTGTAAGGTATTCCAGCTGGCGTTTCAGCTCTCTTCTTTATCTGAGTTGAAATTGTTCTGGATTCATTGGCATGTTGGAGCAGGGTCATATGTTATTGCAGTTCAGTATTTCTTACCTTATTTCTAGCGTATATTTCCTATCTCTTAATTTTTTCGTTTCTGGAAGGCATCTTTCGCTATTTAAAATGCACCTTTGGATTTCAGCGTCATGTTTTAGTATGACTGTTACTACACTACACAGACAGTAAAATTTCTGCACTTGCTTGATGTTGACGTCTCCGTTACATAGCTCACACCTTGGGTTGTAGCTTTGCTGGCGACCTTATCTCCCCTCAGTTATGGGCTAAATAGTAGGACTTATATCTGGAAAAATATATTGTATTTCCACCAAAAAAATCCATATTTTTCAATATTCACCAGCAATATATATATATATAGATATATAGATATATAATATATATATATATATATATATATATATATATATATATATATATATATATATATAGATAGATAGATAGATAGATATTATTCTTACAATCTTATATATACATCTATATATATATATATATATATATATATATATATATAGAGAGAGAGAGAGAGAGAGAGAGAGATAGATATTATTCTTACAATCTTATCTATATTTCAGTGTTAAATGGTTGATGAATCGTACGAAAAAGATCAAACAATTACTGACGAACATACAGCTATTACACTATTTACTTTATTCGAACTATTGTCCTCATCTTTGTCTCCATGTTTATCACAACGTTTCGGCCGATGTACGCTCCGGCCTAGTTCAGGTGGTTGGAATGTCGAACTGAAGCCTTTATTTCGCTCGAAATATAGACAGATACATTCAGCTATTAGTTAATCTATTATTCTTTCTTTCCTTTACGAATTTGGGAAAGAGTTATTTCAGTTTTTTTTTCTCAGTCTGTTGTCATCACGGTACCATTCTGGTATATTATAGCTGACCACTCGTATTCGAGGATATTCGTCTAGAAAATCGTCATTGCAGACGCTTGTTCAGGCGCATGTGTTTGTTCAACACCTACAGAGCTGAGCAAACTTTAGTTACATTTTCTGAGAAAGAGCGTGTTATCTATCGTGATCAACAACGTGAACAAGACCTCGCTCACGATGATTTGTGACTTCATGTTAGCACAAATATCGATGGCTTCCAAGGGTTCTGTCTACCTAATTTCGCTCACAAGGTTTGGTTCAACCCGTTGTATAGTTTTCAGGCACTTTCGACCCCTCCAGTCAGGGAATCTTCTTCCTGACAAATTGACCATGGGGAGATTCGAACCCGAGTCTCACGGTCAGAATGCGAAAGTTCTAACCACTTGGTCACGTGCCCATTAACCATTCTGGTATACTACGCTGTTAAAATGATGTCCGTCGATAATAAAAGTTGGTAGGCCTTCTAGTTTTGTTAGGATCATCTCGCTGTAAAAGTTGAATAAATCTAGGGAGAAGACGTATTTTTGTGTCAGTGTCCATCTTCTTTCTGTATGCCGTCGGGTTCTTCAGAGTAAAGTTTACGGTATATTCTAATATCATTCCCATGTAAATCAAGTCTTCTGAGTGGTCGGCTATACACAAATTTAATTCCCAATCCTATCCCTTGGTATCGCCAGAAAATATTTCTTCATAACACAGTACGAATATCAAAATAGGGTACTATAGCAGAGTGGCTTTGGCGGGGCTTGTATTGTGTGAACAATAATAAAAATTATTATTAATATTACTACCAT